ATAGTGTGGTAGATATGTGGGGGCGTGTTAGAACGAGCCGTTTTAGGGGGGCGTGGCAGAGTCTTAACTTTGATAAAGAATATCTCTTTGGATTTGAGACTTTAGTCTTTGCAACTTCAGGGATCTTATCTATGCACAACCAGCTTGTAACACTCCAAAGAGAAAGGAAAACTTGAAATTGCATCATATGACCCCTTTAATTTTGGTAGGCTACTGTCCAAACCCACATCTATGCCCATGCGCAGAACTAACATGATGTGAAGAAGCTCTTTGGGAACCACAGAATACATCCATCAAGGTTTCTCTGCAAAGCACATTCAAAACAGAGACAGAGAGAATGTCTCGCTGCACTAACAAGCTCTGAATGAGAAGCAAATGCATGCTCAGTCTGCTTGTGTCCGGACTGCGGAAGAGCTGTGAATGGTTTGGCCTTCAAAAGTGTTGATTCAGGTGGACACTTCAGTGAACAGAAGAGGAGAAATAACGAGATATCTGTCAGAAACCTATCTTCTGTCCTTTTGAAGAACAGCCATTATTTTAATCGCCGAGGCGCCGCTTTGGGAGTATAACACAAGCTTTATTTTCAGTGTCTGATGAGCACACAGTAAACCTGTTTAAAACCTTCAATGATCCATCTGGAGAAGATGAGTGGGCAAAACAAGTGCTCTTCATGTTACCTAAGAGGATGTGCTCTAATCGTCACAGAATGAGTGACAGAATCATTTCCTGTTGGGAATGAAATCTAAAGGTGTAAGAAACGGCTGATCTTTAAATATCACTGACACTCAGTTTGGACTGTAACAATTAAGCACATGCAATACAGTAATAACTCTCATTACTGTATTGCACATGATTTTTATTCTCAAAAGTGATTCTCATTATATTCTCATTACTGTAATACTGCAATTACTGTATTTTGTGACAAAATGCAGCAATACAGTCATTTTTATTTAACTTAGCATAAATTAAAGGCAGTCCATCAAATACTATCTTGATATATAAAAACTAGTTTAAGTTAATGTGCAAATATATGGAATTATTATATCTTTGGACATGTAAGATCGCATCCATGCTGTGAGGAAAGATCTAAAATGTATTATCATGTTTAATCGTGAATAAACATTTGATTTGATTGATAACCATGATAATTTACATACTTTACAATAATATCACAATAGAAAAATCTCAATGATCCTTAAAACCCTCTTGATTTCTTGACTGTTCAGGTTTGTTGATCATTTCTTCATGGCAGCTATGGACATGTGACCAAAAAACACAAAATGTATTGGTTGGCCAGTTTTTGTTTTTTTTCACAATGTGATGGAAAAAGATTAGAACACCAGGGGCCGGTTGCACCAGCTAGACGTAAAAACGCTGGGTGTAAGCCCTACGCTGGGCTTTGCAACGTCCTGCTTTACGATAAATATTTACACCTGTTGCACCAACTGAAACTACGATCAGGCGCAACTACGCCCGGCGTAGACAATGCTGACACATTCTCCCTCAGTTATAGACGTCGTTCACGCCGCAATGGCTACAACTACTAATATAGAACTGAATTGCTCGTGACATAATAAACATTTCCTAACAAGTCCGCGTTTTTATATCTGAAGTCTCCCTGCACACTCCCATGACAGATTTCATCAAGGTTAAGTAAAATATAATAAATGTAATACAATGCTTCTCTCTAGAGTTATTTTTTTTATAGCT